TGTGTGTTCATGGGAGGGATCAGTCTGTGTAAATGGATTGGTTTCTTTTAGCTTAGATCTGGGGGCAGGTCTGTGGTGGTTCTGAGGCTCCTTGAGCTCTGCCTCCACCTGTCAGCTACTTCTTCCCCCTGAAGTTGCCTGGTCTTCCTCCAGTGCCTTTAGAACAAAGTCTTTAGGGTGGACCCAGGCTAGCCTAGCTCTGGCTAGTGCCCTGCCCCCCTGCTTAGAGATTACAGTCAGGCACTCCATGAGGGGAAATTAGTCTCTGCTTCAAAGCCAAACTCCTCTACCAGAGACTCCAACTTGAGTTCCCCCTAAGGTGTCCTGCTGCAGGCTCAGGCTGAGTCCAGCCTGCACTCTTCTCTGCAGGAGCAGTTCCAGCTGCCCTGGGCTCAGGGGGATTGAGGAAAAGAGTCTCTGGGTGAGGATGTTGCCAGCCCAGCCTGAAGGAGGAATAAGCACTTCCTCCTGGTCCCAGACAGTAGCCTCTGAGGTCTCATACTTGGAATGGCCCGTTCTGAGCTGCTCCCTTTCCCCCACAGAACTGCGACCGGTGAGGGTACCCAGTGAGGGTATCTGGAACTTCACAAAGCAAACCAGTCTTCTTTTGGGAGTGGTGTTTGCATCCTGCAGGACAGGAAGACAGGTTCTATCTCGCCTTCCCAAGGCTGCCTGACTGAACTCACAGGGAATTCGGATCAGCCAGTTACAAAGCCCAACCAACACTTGCTTATCCATCTCCCTGATAGAAGTCTTCTCAGGGGATACAGTTCAAAAATCCAAGCTCTGCATGGAACCAGTGCCCGCATGCCACAGGTCCAAGCAGGAGGGGTTAGAAAACAGCCCCGTGCAGGACTCAGATCTCTCCAAGCTGCTGATCTCAGCAAAACGGGGGCTGACATTCCCAGCTCCACTAGTCCTCTCAACTCTCCTCAGTGCAGCCCCCCACATCCCCAACCTGGCCTGCTCCTCTGTGCTGCTAAAACCCCACAGGACTGAGCAGTCTGGGAGGTTCCACAAGTAGGGGAAGAGGTTCCAACCCCGCACCTGAGGTGGGAGAATCCTTTCCTGTTTCCCCAAACCAAACAGTTTAGTCCCTATCTGGGGCTCTGCACATGCCTTTCAAGAAAGTAGAGGGTCCTTCAAGATCATTGCTGGGTGCAGCCCACAGGCCCCTCAATGGACCCAAACATTGCAGTGCAGCCTTTCCAGTAGTCAGACCCCAGAGTGAACTTCTCGGCTGGGCTGTTCCTTCACTGGGAGGGTGGGTCCCAGTCTCCCAGGCAGACAGAGTTTCCCTGGTTCCCTCTGCCCATGTAACATGTTACATGGGCTCTTATTCCAGTCTCTGCTGCTCTGGGTTTGGGATCCCTGCATGGGGTTGAGACCCCACACTCCCAAGCGGGGGGGAGCTTTGCAGGCAACATCACTGGGCCTCTCAGCTGGAGCACTTGCTCCAGGGGGCTCCCCCTTTCCACGACTCCCCTCCTCTTGCTATTCTATACACTGTTTCTTCAGTGCTCCTTAGATATATGTCCAGTCAGCTACACTTCTCTTGGTTTTTCAAGTTGATTGTGCAATATTTTAGCTGTAAATCCAGTCCCTGGCTGGGAGCAAGCGCATGCAGCCTCCAGTTTCTCTGCAGCCATCTTCAGTCATTGAGGTTTTGTTTTATTAAATGTATATTCTTAGTAGGTTGTTCTCTGTTACAAAGAACTGTTAATGTAAAAACATTCAAACCTGTAAAGAATTTTTGTGAGTTTATTTGAGCTACACTGTCGACAATTTCCAGGAAGCAGAAATTCAATGGATTGGGGATAATGCTCCAGAGCAGTGGTTGCCAACGGGTGGTCCGCGAACCACTGGTGGTCCGTGAGGTCTGAAAGGTTGGCGACCGCTGCTCCAGAGAATGGTGGTTTTTTTCACCTTGTTTTATACCTTACGTCAAAGGAGGAGTGGGTTACTTGAAGTCCATTGGCAATAGATTAGGGAGGTGGGAGAAAGCGAAGCGGCAGTGGGGGTGGGGGGTGCCTCTGGGATTGGATAGAAAGTAAAATGACAGACACATTACTTAGGTGAGCACAGGATAGTTAACAGTCAACAATTAACATGATAGCAATAACAATGAAGGAATTAGTGATATCTGTCCTGGTGCCCAGACACATTTGTGCCTCAAGGGGTCTGGAAAAAGGGGAGTTACAAGTTACCCAGACATTTCAAGGATATGTTATCTTAGATGCAAAAAGACACATAGGCTCAGTTAAGGTAAAGGTTGATCATGTCAGGGAAGATATCGGCCTAGGAGTGACTACCCACCGTAACTGCTTTTAGTTAAAGTTTAATTTCAGACCATCCTTTGTGGTTACTTTAGGTCTCTGAGTTTGCAAGCCCGCCATGCAGGCCTCCCCTGAGCTTGTCAGGTTAGCATGTGGCCCCTTTCGTCCACAGAACGCACTGGGGATTTCCTTACTTTCCTTTTTATGTTTTCTTTCAGATTGGGCTCTTTCTTTGTTTCTCTTGCTATTGTCATTTGTTTCTCCCCTTCCTTTCACCCCTTGTTTGTACAGTTGAATGGCCATTCCTTCTTCTCTTGCTGGTAAAGGCTTAGATAAGGAGGACAAGATTGTGTATGCTATGGGTTCATTCCTCCATGCCTTTCCCACCTTAGCTGTGACTTTGTTTCCTCCTTTCACTGTACCCCCTGAATATACTTTGAAGCATTGTGTGGTTCTCTGTTTTCTGTTTAGTATAAGGTATTGGGGGAATAGCTCTGCTGGTGCCTCAGGCTCTCCTTCCTGTGTCTTAGAACTTGTTGTGTCTTGTACTGGCCTTTCTCCATCCTCCTGAGATGTAGTATATTTTCAGGGGCTTCAGACCCTTCCCTCAACTTAGAATTAAACAGGTTCTGGTGCCCAGTAGGCCTCAGCTGAGGCTTTTTTCCTGGACTTTTCTGGGGCATGCAAAATTGGATATTTCTATCCAAACTGGAAGATAGTCATTAAAACTTTCAAGTTTTACTCCCTCACCCATTTTTCTCATTACTGCTTCCAGGCAGTGTAATCAGGCAAGGATAGGAGCCAGACCATACTGCATACTGTACAGAATCTTTCTGGCCACTACTTTCTTTTTTTTTTGATTAATTTTCTCCATCACCGTTGATCTCCTCTGTACCCTCCTCCACCCATTCCTCTCCCCCTGCAATCACTATACTGTTGTCCCTATCCATGAATTCTTTTTCTTTTTTTCCTTTTTTTTTTTGCTCAATCCCTCTACCTCCCAGCAACCCTCCCTTCCCCCCACAGCTGTGGAGGTTCTTAGTTTAAAGTTTCTTGTTGACAGCTGGTGGTTTTTTGTTTGTTTGTTTTTAAATCCTCACCAGAGGACATGTTTCCATTGATTTTAGAGAGAGAGGAAGGAAGAGAGAAAAACATCGATGTGATAGAGAAACATCGATTGGTTGGGGATTTAACCCGCAACCTGGAGTATGTGCCCTGACCAGGAATTGAACCATGACCCTTCAGTGCACACAATGATGCTCCAACCAACTGAGCCACACTGGCCAGGGCAGCTGGATTTTGGCTAAAAAAATAATGCACACACATTCACATATGTATGTATATTTTTCCATTTTATTAGTTATTGGGGACAGGAAATTTGATAATTCTGCTTCAGCCTACCATCTTTACTTGAAAGTCTGTGTGATTTCCTAAGTATTATTTTTGACATAATTAATAACACATATGCACTTTAGAAATTTGATAATTCTAAAGGTCAGGGATGACTTGGAACCAAATTTTTAATTAAATAAAATTAACAAATTAAAGACAATATAAGATACTAAGCTTAAAATATCAGTGACCTTAAAGCATGCATATTTCTTTCATTTGCATTTTCTCTTGTGTGTGCTTTTATAAAATTTGCATATAACTGCAATGAAAATATAATGACCATATTATATTTCTGTTAATGTTAGGGTAAAAATTTTAATATTTCTATCTCATCTTTATAACCTCATCATATGGCACATAATTTATTAAGCAGTTACTCAAATAGAAGAAACTGTTGTTTCTAGTTTTATGTTTTTGTGTGTGCATTTAACCTTTTTTGTGTTTATTGTTTTGTATTACCTTTAAAATAAATTGGAAAGGTTCAGATTAATGGACTAATCAACTCTATTAAATCATTATACTTCTTACACTGGCACTAAACAGAGTGTCTATTTATATTACTGGATAAAAATTATTTTGAGATTGTTGCTTAAAATGACAGCTGAGCCCTAACCGGTTTTCACTCAGTGGGTAGAGCATTGGCCTGCGGACTGAAGGGTCCCAGGTTCAATCTGGTCAAGGACATGTACCTTGATTGTGGGCACATCCCCAGTAGGGGGTGTGCAGGAGGCAGCTGATTGATGTTTCTCTCTCATCGATGTTTCTAACTCTCTATCCCTCTCCCTTCCTCTCTGTAAAAAATCAATAAAATATATTTTAAGAAATGACAGCTGATATCTCAGCCTTTAATGCTATCAGACTTTTGGTGCTGTTGTATTCTTTTCCTACATTCTTCCAATGACTTGAATAATAAAAGTTTAAAAAATGTATTATAGTTTCTATAATGTATCATGTATGCTTATAAAAAAAAAATCACGTTAGTATTTTTAAAGGAAATATTACCCAAAGTGAAAAAAGTAATTTGGGTAAAAATTAAAATATATGCTATAGAAGTATGTTTTTTTGTTGCTCTTTAGTCTTTGGTAGTCTAATTTTATTATTGATTTTGCTATCATCCATAGCCTTGGTTTATAAAAGTGTTCATTTTCTCCTATCATAAAGTTATTAATTTAATTATTGCATTCAGTATTTATTAAGAGTCTTGTAAGAATCATGAGTAGCTTTTGGGCTTTGCTGCATTTAACTATATAAGAATATGCATTCACATTATGTAACAATCAATGTAATTATCCTTATTTAGGAATGTTTAATCTATTTTTATTCTCTCCTCAGATTCTGTCAAATTTTAAGAACAAATGTACCTTATAGCTCATGGAAGAAAAAACACAAATCAAGACATATTTGGGTTCCAAGTTGCCAAAGTATGGAACAAAATCTGTAAGAAGTACACTGCAGCCAATGCCAAGTGGGACACCTGTTAATTTATTGGGAACTTCCAAAACTAGCAGCATCAAAAGTTACATAAAAAATAATGGCTCTGATTGTCCATCATCCCATTCATTTAATTGGAGAACAACAGCTAAGTACCAACTTGGTGCACCAAGTGCTGAGGAACCTAATGATACTCAAAGTTCACATGATAAAGTAATTGATCCTGAAAAACATGCACCTGCTCAAGGAATGTTTGCTAAAAATGGGATAAAGGGAGATTTGAAGAGTGTTTCTTTTACATCAAACTTAGCGAAGCCGTCCACTATGTTTGTGTCATCTACAGAGGAATTAAAACAAAAGTCTTTGTCTGGACCATCCGGTTTGGGTAAATTCACCAAAGGCACGATATTAGGAAGGACTTCATATTCTCTAGTCAGTGCTCCAACATCGCAGTTGAGTGGGTTCTATGTGAATCGATCAGCTGGTAGCATACAGAGGCCTAGAGCAAACTCCTGTGCTACCAGAAGCAGTTCTGGAGAAAGCTTAGCACACTCCCTAGATAATATGAAATCTCTTACTTGTGAAAAAATGGTAAGGTCACAGAGTTTTTCACATTCCATTCAGAATTCATTCTTTCCACCTTCATCTATAACCAGATCGCATTCCTTCAGTAGAGCTGCAGATCTTAAGCCTTATCAGAACCAACATCTACCCATTAGAATGCCTCTGAGGGCAAGTATGCTAACAAGAAATTCCCAGCAGTCTGACGTACTCAATGGGCATGAACATTTAGGGTATGGATTTAATAGGCCTTATGCTGCTGGTGGAAAGAAGTTGGCTTTATCAAATGGCCCAGGTGTAACTTCCACTTTGGGTTATAGGATGGTTCATCCCTCTCTACTGAAATCTAGCCGATCTCCATTTTCTGGGACTATCACAGTTGATGGTAATAAAAATGCACCTGCTGGCACATGTGTAGGGGAAGATACTGGACTTTTGGCTAAGGACAGAGCTACCAACAAGGACCAAGGACTAATTGAAAATAATAGTGATAGAACAGAAAATGGCCAGACCATGAAGCATGATGCTAAAATTAGATACCTGAGTGATGATGTGGATGACATTTCCTTATCTTCTTTGTCATCTTCTGATAAGAATGATTTAAGTGAAGACTTTAGTGATGATTTTATAGACATAGAAGACTCCAACAGAACTAGAGTAACTCCAGAGGAAATTTCTCTCAAAGAAGAAAAGCATGAGAATATACCAACAAAGGATATATTTGATTCCCCCAAGGAAAATGAAAAATGCTTCAGTAAAACTGATGAGTGGATAGATATAAGTGTCTCTGGTAAATATTAATATCCTTAAGTTTATTTGCTTTCTCCTAGATTATATAACTGAAGTTATATTTAGGGTTATCTTCTGATTAATTCCATGAAACTATCAATTTCATGGAGGGATGGATCTAGATAAAGTAGAAATGGGGCAACATTTTCATTTCTTGTGACTTTTGTTCCTCATCCTATTTTTCACTTTATGTAGAACATCAATGAAAACATTCTTCTCCTAAGGTTTCTTACCTTTTTCTTTCTTGGCTATCCTACACAGGCTTATTCCTACCTACTTCAAAAGGCCCCCCTCCCCCCACTTCTCCCAACAGGTGGCATGCCATTTTAAACCATATCTTTTCTTAGGGGTAGTAGATCATTGCTATTTGTTAAGAGTGAAGTTATACCAAAGGTAAATGAGCAATTATGTCTAATCTAAAGAATTTTCTTATCCTAGGAAATTTTAATTTTTTTAATGGAAGACTTAGATTTCTTGTTATAGCAAACTTTTTATAGTTAATATTTTTAAAAAATATGTATTTATTGATTTCAGAGAGGAAGGGAGAGGGAGAGAGAGATAGAAAAATCAATGATGAGAAGGAATCATTGATTGGCTGCGTCCTGCATGACCCCCACTGGGGATTGAGCCCACAACCTGGGCATGTGCCCTTGACCGTAATCAAACCCGGGACCCTTCAGTCCACAGGCTGATGCTCTGTCTACTGAGCCAAACCAGCCAGGGCTATAGTTAATACTTTCAGAGGACTTTTATTTTTTTAATTGAGGAAAGTGAGATGGCACATGTTAAACATTTCCTTATTTTTGGTTATCTTAGCACTAAATGCCACAGAAAATTTATCCGTGTCCTCAAATAGCCTGAAAATAAAACAAACTGAAGGGATGGGGTAAGGCATGTGGCCTGGTCAAGGCACTAGGCCAGTGATGGCGAACCTTTTGAGCTCGGCGTGTCAGTATTTTGAAAAACCCTAACCTAACTCTGGTGCCGTGTCACATATAGAAATTTTTTGATATTTGCAACCATAGTAAAACAAAGACTTATATTTTTGATATTTATTTTATATATTTAAATGCCATTTAACAAAGAAAAATCAACCAAAAAAATGAGTTCGCGTGTCACCTCTGACATGCGTGTCATAGGTTCGTCATCATTGCACTAGGCCATACTTAGAGATGTACATAACCCTTGACTGCCTGAGAATCTTCTAGTTAGGAGTGACTGCCTGAACAACTTTTTTCCTTATAAGGAGGCAACTGCAAACTTAAATGATATATATGGAGGAAGGAGTTTCCTAGCCAGTGCTTAAATGTAAATATATGAGGAACTATTAAAGGAATATTAGGCTTTACTTACATTTTTAGAAATGTTGCAGAAGTGAAAGATGGCTCAGTGAATTTTCTTTATATTGGGAAACATTTCAGTAGGTTATTTTTGAAATTTTACCTCTGGATTTATTTATTGTTTAGAAGTTAGAAAATGTTACATTTATTCATGCTTTTTGCGATAATATATCACATTTTTATTTTATAATATTGATAAAAATAAGTGATATTATTGGAACCTGAGAAATAATTATATTTTTGTGAATTAATAACTGTTTTCTCTCTCTTTTAAAAAAAATCAATTGAAGACAGGAGTGAATGTACAAAACATACTTCTGGGAGTAACTTGATTTCACCAGATACAGATTACAGAGCTGGTTCTTCATTTGAACTCTCTCCATCTGATAGCTCTGATGGAACATACATGTGGGATGAAGAGGGCTTGGAGCCCATTGGAAATGTCCACCCAGTTGGGAGCTATGAGTCCTCTGAAATGAACAGCATAGTACGTATGGTTTCTATACACTTTTGGAACGGTTTATCTTACTGTAGAGAGACTTGTGATACTGACTGGGTTATTTTTAAGGTACTGAATTAACTCTCCAAGTTTGAGAATGGAAATTTATATATGTTAAGGGCCTATAAAACATCTGATCTTTATACACAGTAAAGCATATATTTGTGTCACGTGACATGTGAATTAAATATACTTTCACACCTTTGTAATACATATATACATATATGTGTATATATGTGTCTCCTGCACACACCCCAGCTGGGCCTGGGGTTCGAACCTGCAACCCAGGTATGTGTGATGTGCAGGCCGATACTCTAACTACTGTACCATGTCGTCCAGGGCCAGGCAATGTAATTCTTTATGTATGTATATATATATATATACATATGTATATATATATACACACACACACACATACATACATAGAGACATCAAGCTAGGCTAATGCTTCTCAGAGTTGGGGGGGGCATTGTCAAGAGACATTTTTGGTTCTCACAAAGTGGGGGTCGTGCAGGAGGCAGCTGATCATGCTGCTTAATGTTCTGTAATGCAGTGGTCACCATTCTTTCGGACCTCATGGACCATCAGTGGTCCGCAGACCACCAGTTGGCGACCACTGCAAATGCACAGAATAGCACCCACAGCAAAGTCGTATCCTATCCAAGATGTCAGTAGTGCTTCTTTTGAGAAACCCTAGCCCGTGGTCGGCAAACTGCGGCTCGTGAGCCACATGCGGCTCTTTGGCCCCTTGAGTGTGGCTCATCCTAAGCCTTAGGAGTACCCTAATTAAGTTAATAACAATGTACCTACCTATATAGTTTAAGTTTAAAAAATTTGGCTCTCAAAAGAAATTTCAATCGTTGTACTGTTGATATTTGGCTCTGTTGACTAATGAGTTTGCGGACCACTGCCGTAGGCTCAGGTAACATTATGAGCCAACTGTCAGGGCTTAATGCAATAAAAAATTATTTTTTACTTTTACAAAGTCAGTTGTAGGTATGAACAACTCTCGAGTAGCTGTCTTAAGTGTTGTAAGCTGTCTTAACCTTGGGGCTTTACCATCTCCTTTTGAGGTTCTGTCTTGTCATTGTGGTAGAGGAAGAGTGCCTAAGAGTCTAAAATGTGCAGTTACTTGCTTTGGCCTGCAGATGGCACATAGAACTTTCACGTAAAACTATTGATCCAAACTAATATTATGTACTAAGAAAATTTCCAGTTGTCTGAAAGGCATGAAGCAGATATGGATGAGTACTAGAAGACCTGCTATGCATCCATACATGCAAATTTATGTGTACGATATGCATATCGTAATGTGTACGATATGCTCTATGAGTAAAGTGTAGTTGGTATATTTAAAGTGACTCATTGTACTTACTCAGTATATACTAGTAAATATATGGTTTTCCAGTAGGTGTATAGGAAATTGGTAGGCTTTGTGCATATATTAAATTCCAAATAGATTTCAGGCAATGTAATTTTGTTGTTAATCCTCACTAGAGGGTATATATTTTTTTCCATTGATTTTCAGAGAGAGTGGAAGGAGGGGGGTGGTAAGAGAGAGGGGTGGTCAAAAAGAGAGAGAGAGACAGACAGACATTGATTGGTTGTCTCCTGCACACACCCCAGCTGGGCCTGGGGTTCGAACCTGCAATCCAGGTATGTGTGATGTGCAGGCCGATACTCTAACTACTGTACCATGTCGTCCAGGGCCAGGCAATGTAATTCTTTATACTCATACTAGTGACCCAGCACGCAAAATTGCGCGAGACCCAGACCCGCGGGAAATTGCGTGAGACCCAGGACCCCCGAGTCCCGCTGGCATCACAGGACTCCCCCGAGTCCCAGCGCGCCACGGGACCCAGAGTCAAGTCCCTGCCCACCCGCCCATGCCTCGCCCACCTGCGCATGCTTTGCTGCACACACAGCCTCCTGGTGACCGGTCTTTGGTTGTTACAGCATTACGACCACTGGGTTTTTATTATATAGACTAGAGACCCGGTGCATGAAATTCGTGCACGGGCAGGGGGTCCCCTCAGCCCAGCCTGCACCTTCTCCAATCCGGGACCCCTTGGGGGATATCCGACTGCCGGGCCTAAACCGGCAGTCGGACATCTCTCTCACAATCCAGGACCTCTGGCTCCTAACTGCTCACCTGCCTGCCTGGCTGATTGCCCCTAACTGGCCCCCCTGCCAGCCTGATCACCCCTAACTGCCTCTGCCTGCCGACGTGATTGTCCCTAACTGCCCCCCCCCCGCCAACCTGGTTGCCTCCAACTGCCCCCCCTGCCGGCCTGGTCATCCCTCACTAACCCCCCTTCCGGCCTGGTCGCCTCACTGCAGCGTACTGCTCAGTTGTTTGGTTGTTCCTCACTAACCCCTCTGCCAGCCTGGTCGCCCCACACAGCCTGCTGCTCAGTCGTTTGGTTGTCCCTCACTAACCCCCGTGCCGGCCTTGTCGCCCCACTCAGCCTGTTCAGTCGTCCATTCGGTTGTTTCGGATGTGATGGCCCCTGGCTCTTTATATATAGAGATAAACCTGTAACTTGTAAAAAAATAAGCATCGTTACCAAAGGCTTAAGTTTCACAAACATAAAGAGGATACAGATTTAATTCAGAAAGTCTATCTCTATCCTTTTAGATAAAGGAGGTTAAGAAAAGAGTATGATTTAGGGCCTTATGTGCTTTCTTATTACTGGGACTTTCTAAAGTGGCTGATTGAAGTAGAAATGAACATTGTGTCCAGCAGATGGCAGCAATAAGCCACTTAGAACCTGACATTTCTTAGAAGGTTCACCATCTTTAGTTCCTCATTGTGCTTTTTGTCTTAAGGTCTCTTTTTTCCGGATAACAGTATATTTCACTAGTTTTATTTATATATTTTCTAGCCTTTTATTGTCAAACTTTTTGACACATAGCAAATAGGTTATTTTTTAAAAAATGCAGGCTGTCTTTTTCTTTTAACCTGTGAGTTTAGTCTTTCTATGTTTGCATTTATTAATATACTGGGACTTCATTCTACCATCTTATTTTTATTTAAATCATCTCACTTTCTCTGTTTTTTTCTTTCTCCTTTTTTTTTCCTAAAATAGTCTAAATGAATATCATTAACTTTAAAGTGTTCTCATTTTTCTTGGTCTCTCCATTGCTTCTCACCAAATGCCTTTCCTGATCCCTATGTCTGTCATCTCTGTGGCCTTCCATTCGCTCCCCCTCCCCTTCAACCACCACCACAGTTGGCTTGTTCTCTACAACAATGCCTCTTCCAGTCCAGGTGGAGGTAAGGAGCTTTCAGTGAAATGGAAGTCAAATGGTGTCACTACTAACACAGTTTATTTCAACCCACTATTTAGTACAGTTAATACTGTTTTCATAGCAAGGAAATGCATTGTGGTGCAAGCTCCATATCTTGTCTTGGATCCTTTGTAGAATGACTTAATTGCATAGCACTTATCTAGAATCTAGGTTATTTTTTTGTTTAATTACAGTGTTTTGTTGAGATATAATTTACATACAGTAAAATGCACAAATCTTTTTCATACAGCACAGGGAATTTTGAAAATTTGTTTATACTTATTTAACAATCATTTACATGTTTCCTGTGCTTTTCAGTCATTCTCTCAAACCCCCCCCCCCACCCCCCAGAGGCACCACCACTATTTATATATTTATTTTTTAAATATGTTTTTATTGATTTTTAGAAAGAGAGGAAGGGAGTGGAATAGAGAGATAAAAACATTGATGAGAGAGAAACATCGATTGGCTGCCTCCTGCATGCTGCCTACTGGGGATCGAGCTCACAACCTGGGCATGTACCCTGACTGGGAATTGAAACTGCAACCTCTTTGTTCATGGGTGGATGCTCAACCACTGAGCCGCACTGGCAGGGCAGTTTGCCTATTCTTGAATTCCATATCAGTGCAATTATAAACATGTCTATTTCACGTCTGCCTTTTTTGAATAAATATTATGTATATAGTTATTTGTAGTTTGTTCAATTTTTGTTATGTAACACTAGGAGCCCAGCCCGCGCTATTGCGCTGGCGCCACCCACTCCCTCTCCGGCCCTTGAAGCAGCCATGGCCAGCTGCTGCTGACCAGGCCCTCCCCCAGCGCAGGCGCGCAGAGGCCCCTGCTGCCCCGCCCCGGATGCTGCACAGGCCCTCCTGTTCTGTCGACCCCATTACAGCGTCCTGGTTAATTAGCATATTTCTCTAATATATATATAGATTCCTTTGTGTGAATGTACTACAACTTAGTATTTTATCCTGCTGTTATGGGCCTTTAGGTTGTTTCCAGTTTTGGGCTACTACTGCTTTGAAGATTTTGCTACATGGTTTTCGGTGAACATTTATGCATTTCTCTTGATAAAATATGTAGGAGGGGAAACTCTGGATTATAGACTATATATATCATCTAAATATACATATATAGAGAGAGACCAAAGTGGTTTCCATGGTGCTTTTACCAGTTTACACTCACTGGTAGTAAATGAGCATTCCAGAAACTCCACTTCCTAGTCAGTCCCTGGCATTGTCTGTCTGTTGCATTTTTGCTATCCTGGTGGGGGCATGGTGTAGTATTGCACTGAGATTTTTGTCTAGTGTTTTGTGATAACTACTCATAGAACATTTCACTTATGTTTATTTACCATTAGGAGATCTTCTTTTGTGAAGTGCCTTCTGTTGGGTTGTATGTTTTTCTTTTTACTGCTTTGTAGAAATCTTTCATATATTTTGATATAAATCCATTAAATACAGTCATACCTCAGAGATATTGCAGGTTAGGTTCCAGACCACCACAATAAAGTGAGTTCTAATCTGTTGGCTGGTAGAGGGTCTTGCCTTCAATTTGTAAAAAATACAATATCTGTGAAGCAAAATAAAGTGAGATATGCCTGTGTGGGTGTCACACACATACACATATGTGTATGTATATCAGGGTTACTTTTTAAATTATAGAAGTTTACAATTTTAATACAGTCCAATATA